TGGAAAACCCGCTAATTCATTATGGTCTGGCTCCTTTTAAAAGTAGGACAGCCCCTTTTAAAGTGCTCATGAGGAATTTTTAGGGCCCTGGATTTATTAATTATTATTTGGTGGTGGTTTTATTAATAGCGGGAAGAGACTATTCACAAAGATGGGTTTGGCAGCTCCAGGATTGTGAATATGCAATCGCTGCGCTACTCAGCCAGATTCACTGCGCCCTTTCAATCTCGCCAGTGTTCCTTGGCCATTACAAGAAGCCTTCCGTCTTTGTCGTACATAAATGGTAGTTTTCCAAAATAGGGGACCCCAATATAGACCCCAAAATGCTATAATCCTTCCTAGGGACTCCCAAAAAGGTACCCTTAATTTTGGGAAACCCCAGATGTTGGGCGATGGGGTTCAGGGTATAGGCTTGTCGGGTTTCTGGGCTGGCAGGGGAGGGTAAGAGCTTAATTTAGAACAGAAGCTCTGACCACTAAGCTGTGTGGAACTACACTATATGACTCTATAACCCCTTTAATCGCTGTAGTTTCCATTCTCTTCTCCAGTATCCTTATATATAGCCCCAATATACTATGTAGTAGTTTCCAGTCAGCTAAGGTCCTGTTGAAGACGTTAAGTTGACTGAAGTGGCCACTGGGAAAACTCTACAGGATGAATCGGACTTGTCAGACTCCCTTGCTGACGAGGTTCCAGTTGTGAGATCCTGGGACATTTTTCTGGAAAGATTTATATATTTATTATGGACCCTAAACCCTAAACCCACTCATATATTTATTATGGATCATAATCCCTGTGTATTCCTTGTGACGCCATAGAAAACAATGCCCGGAGGGGGCCTCGAACCTATCCCAGGAGTATCCAGCTATGTTGCAGACATGATCGCCCAAAATTCGTTGGAGCTGGTCTTCACGGATGCTTCACGCGGTTTAGAGTTTAGGCTGTAGCCCTCTGAACAGCCGTTTTGCCGCACTTAGTTGGAAGTCCTGCGCAGGCTATCGCTTCGTAATGTTTTACGCTCTAAGGTTGCGCGCAGTCCGCGTGATTGCGTGCCCCCCAGACACGCGAGGTTTAGAAGCACATCCATGCCTAGAACATTTATCTTCGCGTGGGTCTGATGGGGTTCGGGGGTGGGTGGAGGCAGTAGGGGTGTCGTTGGGGGGTGGGGTGGGCTTAATACCCGAGAGCATAATATCAGCCGTGCCGCAAAGGCTTCGCCATATTCCCCGTATCTGCATACCAGTACATACATTTCACAATACTGGCTATCCATGCTAGTCCCGGCAACCAACAAGTCAAAGGGCAGAAACAAGCACGCAATTAAGCACATATCTCTTAACTTTCTAGCTGCACCAGTCACACCTTTGTTTGTGCAGCATTTGCCACGAAGAGGTTTCTGTCTTATGTACTTGTGGCGCTCCATATGCTCACTCCACAAATTTAACAGCTTATGTAGTTTTGCATACACGGCCCGCAACTCAACAACCATCTTTCTCTAAGAGCCGCAGCAATAGTATCTCTTACCGTTGCATCTATGACGTCGGCCCCGGTTCAAAATTGCTATGCTTCTGCACCTTTTGCGCCCTAAAGTCAGCATAGCGCATGCGCATGCTAAACACAGCACTTTCTCTCTTTGCTGGTTCGCTCGGTCTGTAAACGAGCGCCATCAAGAGGCGCTGAAGTATGTGGAAGCTAAAAACCCTGGCAAACGTGGGCTTTCGGGCATTCCAGCCCAAGAGAACATCCTTTTTCAGGGCGCCAAACTTTCAATGATAATAACAGTACTAACACTAGCAATACTGAAAACAATATTAATAACAGCGCTTCTGGGCTTTCCACGGTGACTGCCTAGAAACTTTGGCACCTTGAACCCCAAACCCTAAACCCCAACACCCTAGAGGCTAAACCCCTAGAACCCTGAACCCCAACACCCTAAGCCCTAAACCCCAAACCCTAAACCGCATGAGCTGAGTGGGTCTGCCCTGATGCTCTCAATGATGTGAGCTTTGCACTATCTGAGTAGGGTTTAGGGTTTAGGGTTTAAGGTTTAGGGTCCCCCGTGACTGTCTGCAAGCTCTGAGCAGCAAGGGATACATGTTGTCGCCGATGGTACCCCTTACTGACCTGTGCCTGTGCATCCCTCAAACGAACAAGAGTACAGGGTCAGGGTAGTAGTAATAACCATAGCAAACAATGAAGGTTAAAGATAATGAACGTAACAACATCAACAACAACACCAGCAGCAGCAGCAGCAGGAGGAGGAGGAAGAAGAATAACAAGAACAAGATAAAGAGCAGCAGCAACAACAACAACAACAACAACAACAACAACAGTGACAAGACGCACAAAACCTAATAATAGTTATAACAAGAACAAGGACAATGATAGTGATCAGTACTACTAATAATAGTAGTAGTAGTAGTAGTGGTAGTAGTAGTAGTAGTACTACTACTACTAGTAGTAGTAGTAGTAGTAGTAGTAAAGTAGTAGTAAAGTAGTAGTAGTAGTAGTAGTAGCAGTAGTAGTAGTAGTAGTAGTAGTAGTAGTAACACCACCACCACCACCACCAC